CTAACAAAGGATTTGACCATTCTGACGAGAAACCTTAACGTCAAGGTTTGAACGGACAACGCCGGATATGATGACATCATATGACGACATAGACTGGGAGAAAGGAACAAAGGCAGTAAGAGATTCGCAAACCTATGTGCCTTCAATAAACTGGTCATAGTTGGCACCTAATTCCGACACAGTCGCACACACTGCATAGGTTTCACCGTATCACACCACACAGAACCAAGTCGATCACATCTGCATCAATAAAACGGTCAGGACCGTGAAGGTTGCGAAAACCAAGAGAGGAGCTGATATAGCCTCAGATCACCACTTTCTGGTCGCTAAAATGAAATCGAAACTGAAGAAACACTGGACAACGGGGCAGACAACATCACAAACGTTTTATACGGCCTTTCTTCGGGATACCGTAAAACTTGACGAATTCAAGATAGCACTCACCAATAAGTTCCAGGCCTTTCAAGATCTACTCAATGGAGAGGAAACAACCTTCGGGAACAGTTGGGAAGGGATCAAAGAGGCAGTCACTTGAACATGTCAGGAGGTTCGGGCCACAAGAAGTACCATCACAAGGAATGGATTTCTGTTGGTTCTCTTGAAAAAAATTCAAGCAAGGAGGAAGGAGAAGGCAGCAATCAACATCAGCGGAACAGGAGCTGAGAGAGTCAAGGCACAAGCTGAGTACACAGAAGCAACCCGGAAAGTGAAGAGGGGCATCAGAGCCCACAAACGTAAATATGTGGAATATCTAGCAATGACGGCAGAAAAGGCTGCAAGAGAAGGAAAAGAGTTGTGTTCCGATTTTCACTGTGACAAATGTCTGAAAACGTTTCCAGTTACTTAAACAGACTAGGACTTGACGAAATCTCAAACCATTTTAAGAAGTGTGCTGACATTGTGTGTCACCCATTCACGAAATTCTTAATAAATCAGTCCCAACAAAAGAAATAATAAATGATTAAGGTAGTTTGATTCTGAAGAAATTTTCTAAAGATAAGAATGTAAAATTGAGACTCATAGCAGTTACTTCACCTTTTCCTAAAACAATGGAAAAACTTATGCTGCTCCAACTTCATCCTACATTAAAAGAGTATATTGCTTACAAATATAAAAGAAGTAACTTATCCTGTATCACAACATGTTGTTACGAATCGAGTACTAGGTAAGAATGTCAGATCAATAAATGAAGTAATGAAACTTTATCAGTTGAGGTGGTTGGACATGTTTTACGTATATCTTACCATCGACTGCCGTGTGGAGCTATGTTTTTTGTGTAGGAATAGGTTGGAAGAAAGCTAACGGCAGCCAGACAAGAATATGGCAGAAGCGCATGAAATCATTGACAAGTGGACTGAGTTATGTTGGTAGTTGTAGGCTATCTGGTTGGGTTCCGCGAGACGAAAGTCACCGATGGTTTGAGACCTTGAACGACATGGCTCAAAATCGCTTTGAATGGCACAAGTGCATCCACTCTTTGTGTTCTCTCTGATTCTAACCTTCTGAATTCCTCATCATCCCTATCTTTCTCTTTCTAACTTTTTCCCACTGAATTATGCTTCTCGAATCATATCTTCGAACCTTAATCTTCTCCATTACTGCTAATACTTCTACCATAGCTACCACTATGTCATTTGAACTGACAGCTGCGTCTCTGTGCTAATTCGGTATACAAATCCGAACTGTTGTACGTACGTAGGAAGTTCTGTGTTGTATCTGTCTGTCTGTCTAATGTGGTAACACTTGCACTCAAGATAACGTAGCAAAAGATGTCGCAACTCCCATCTGTGAGTGGGTGTCCAAAAGAACAATGATAGCTCCACAACCAAAACATCCAGCTGAGAGAACGAAACTCCATCATATGTGGTTTTCAGTCCTCTGAACGCATAACATAAGAGAGGAGTTTGTGAAGGAATTATTCAAATGACAAGAAGGATATTAATTTATTCTGCACAAATAACGAAGCATTTCACATAACCTTAGTGTTAATAAAATTGATCCTAAACAATTGAACATCAGTAAATGTGATGGAAGACACTGATGAAGGGACTGGGCTAACACTGAATAAACTAATACAATTAGAGGTCAATGAACCAACCAGTAAAAAAAGCAGACTTAATGACCAATTATGATAGAAGATGGAAACAAGCTTATTCTGGAGAAAATAATTAAAGCTCTTTATGCCGAAACTACAGTAAATGTCCAGATTTCATGACTATAAACAGACTATAAAGATGGATATTCTAGTATTGCTAGCAGAAGCCGAATCTCCCAGAGGATAATGGCGTAAGGCAATTATCGTAAGCGCTGAAGGAGGAGTTGATGATCCGGTATGAAATGTGACTTTGAGGTCAGTAAAAGCTTAGTTCAAAGGGATGTCAGACAGATTTATAAGTTAGAAAGAGAAACTGAAAAATCATCGGACATGAAGCTGATGAGAGTGTCCCAGGATCCTTCATTTTACGAGGGTTGTTGTCAAATTATTGTTTTCTAACTATATTGCCTATTAGCAATCAGGGTTCATCCCCCTTTTTCTTCTATCTCGACCGTTAAATTGATTAATGAGAAACTGGCTATAATATCATTGGTTGGAACATATTTTGTATGGACAACTATTTTAAATACGTCATCTTTATGTTCCACTGTTGTTATAATTTTGGACATAAGTTTGAATTTAACTAATTATGTTTTATTATTGAACCATATATTAATTATATACACTTATACATAAACATTTCCGATTAACCAAGATCATCTTCTGACTGAAATAGACTTCGAGCACCCTTTTCAAGGAGGGAGGATGGAGCTAATGACCAGCAAACATCGACGGTGTGGGCGATGACTTCAGTCCACCCATGTGGGGCAGAACATTTTGCTTGCTTTTGGCTTGTCTCGATTGATGAGGCGACTAATCAGTGATACTGAGGTTGCTTTTATACGCTTGCTACTTTTGAGACTTATGTTTCCAAAAATATACTGAGGTAGCTATTCTGCCAAGACTACCCGCAACATGGCTACTTAGGCACTTACAGTATGACTGGCAGGTTGGCATTTGATACAAAGATTTAGACAGTGAAAAATATAATTCTCAATGTTTTTTACAAGCTTTACTCTCCTTAATAAACTTTCGGTTTCAATTTACAGACATCCAGCTCCTAACTTCAACTTCTGTTCTATTCACTTGATGCATTTCACAACCCATCGTTCTTCATTACAATACTCATTAACTTGTGTGCTATGTTACTACAGTTTACTTACATTTTAGTAGTCAGTATGAATTTCATCTTGACTTACCACTGCATTGTTTACTTCACCATGAAAGGTTAGGCAGTGCTTTGGTTTTATATACACAATTGTCTCTTTGCTGTTTTTTTTCTCTTTCTCTTTTTTATCCCTTCTCAGAACCCTATTCACAGTGGTACATCGATGAAAAATGCACCTTCTGTACGCGCACGCCTAGGTCACAGCCTGAATCAAGAGCTTTCCAATTAACGATTCCCAGCAAATTCACTCCTGAATTACTCAAGCCACCCGAAAACTACAACTGTGCTCCATCCCCATTTGTACCGACTTTTTGAAAATGTGGCTGTATCAAAAAGTTCTTGTCAATGAAATAGTGTAAATATGCTATCAGAAACAAACCCTTATATCCAATAGAAACTTTGTTAAACTTTATAGTAAATCTGGTAGAATTTGTAACTATTCGATCTAGCCTGTAAACTGGCATACCTCTCGTCACATTCTGTTATCTGATAATAAATATATTGTTACTATTGTTATAAGTAAATTCGACAGTTATTCTAGAGAATCTGACACGAATGAAAGATCTTTTAGCACACACAAGGCTTTGATGCTAGAAAGTAAAGGGACTTGCCAGCACAAGGTTTCTTCATTCCAACAAAGAAATTTTGGACGAAAAGCATGTCAATGCGTATTCTGCTGTCGGGACTATCAGAAACGGCATTTATGAAGATGGTAGTAACTGTCGTTTTGCTTGTCATCAGTGCGAAAATTTGGATGTGCTTTGTGTACATTACGTTCGGTACCATTAATACAATCGCAATTTATGTGTTAAGAATTTTTTCGACAATTTTCGATGTCAATAAATTTGACAAAATAAGGTATTTATCAAGCGAGTTCTGGGGATCTTACGTCCCCAACATGCAGTTTATTTGTTTTCCCTGTTGTATTTCACGTTTGCGAGCATAGGCTGATCAGCTAACCTTGAGATTTCATTTCCCACCAGGAAAATCCTGGCTGTGATTGTCTGTTGTGTATTTTAGTGTGCTATTTTTTTGACTGTCCCAAGGGCGTTTCTATGATGTATAAATAAAAGAGAGTTGTATGTCTGATTGTATTGTGTTTACTGGGTGTTTGTAGAATATACTTTCTACGCTTATCAAGACTTCTGTTTTGCCGTTTTCGGGTCAAGGTAGCCTACTCGGACGCTGATTCATTGTCTCGTTCGCGCTTATGGACTAAGGTTTACCCGTAATAGCTACAAGCGTACCTAGTGACCAAGCTAACACTGTAGTTCATCATCTTCGAGTTTGTAAACAGATTCAGGACTGATGAATACCGAAAACTAATCTAAACCAGACAATCGATGACAATAACAACCAAAAATCAATTCCATGCAAATGTTATTCGAGGGATATAATGTAAATGGTATATAAGAATAGTGACTACTGTGAATCGCTAATCGATTAGATGTCACACAAACATTGTTTTATCCTAAGATAATATTATTTGTACATCGTAACCTGAATTAATGTTTATTTATTCTAAAAAAATTTTTTGGAATTACTATTTAATTCATAAAAATGAAAATAACACAAATGAGATTGTTCGTATCATTCATTCGTTTATAATAAATAATTTTTAACCAGGTAGAATACAAACATTTTTTTAAACTTTCAGTCTTTAAGTTGAATGAAATGTATTTGTTTTGTTAATTGTATGAAATTATTTCCTATACTGAACAAAGATTATTTCATAATCTAGCATTGCTGTAGGAAAAAAAATCATAGAAAATATAAAAATAAATGAATACAGACAGTGATGTGGATCGATAATTATAGAGGCTGGTAAAAAAGACTAAAAAAAAATAAAGAATAAGCAACCTTTGCTAATGACATTGCACTTATTTCTCTTCTACGAATAAAGCACAATTGGTTGAATAGAAACATTCATTATTATAACCAGATGTACCAGTGAACGTTTTACCGAACATTTTGTTTATTCGTACACTTGTACCTGCTTTTTACCCATTTCTCTGGCACGATTTCGGCATCATTTTGATACCACGAAATTGCCAGCAAATGTATTCATTCCATTTAGACAGTCCCAGCCTCGTTTCTTATTGATTCACGATGAGAGTACGCTTGAGACTTGAACGTAATTGGTGTTTAGATGTGTTCGTAGTTATCCATAACTCGACCAGCTACACACTATTAAACCGATTGTGATGTTTTTGTACTTATAAACATTACTGATATATAAACCAGTTGGAGATATAACCAGACAATTAGGATGATGCTTGTATCAAAATAAAGAACGGGAGCACTCGTTATACCATTGATAATTCAGTCCATGATTAAGCTTAAAATTGGACAATTCAAACAAACTCTTCCATCTTAATAATAGTAATGATGATGATAAGTATGTTTTTAGCAGTAAGGCTTGTTGGTAGGTCACATTGGGGTTTGATCTTATGGTCTAATCTCTTAATGTTTGTTATCAGAATAAAAGATATTGAATCAGATCCTGTGCAGGATTATATTGACAAACTTTTCTCGTAAAATCGGAGGAACATAGTAGAACGAGATCATGCCTGATCAATTTCAATACTTAATCGAACCAGTAATTCATTGGTCAGTGATATATCGTAAAATGAACAATCAGAAGTGAATAAATATAGTGTCATTGCATGAAAAATATGCACACACTTATAAATTCTAATTTTCAATCCATGTAAATAGAAACAAATACAGGAGATTACAGTATAACCTAACTCACTCTGCACACTTGTTTACATGGTGGACACTCGACATAACCTTTGATTAGTCCTAAATTCATTTGTGCATTTAAAGCCACTGTTCCTCCCTGTTGTGGACACGAAATAATATTTCGACCAATCGTAATCGCTAATCCATTACCGCATTCATACTGTAATTTATGAGTAAAACATTTAAACAAGAAAATGTGTACATTTAGTCTGAATGATCGCATAGAAAACAAGCACCTATTTTTAATTCAACATAAAAACCCACTTTAAAGATAATTCACTTGTACTCCATCCACGAATATTCACATTATTATTCTTATAAACGGATAAATTGGAAAATATATGCAATCAACTTTCTACTGTGTTTGAATGGGTATTGACTTTACACAATCGCGAGGTGGTATATTTTAATGTACATAATGAAGTAAAAAAGGCTGTACAGGGCTATAATATTTTACTTCTTCATATAGAAACTAACTAAAAGCTGTAAACTATTATTCAAATTAAGAAGAATTTCTTGTTGGGGACGTTAGATCCCTAGAACTCACTTGTTAAAGGTCCTAATTTTGGATTTTATAATTTCGAGCATGGGCTGGTCAGTTAGCCTTGAAATTACATTTTCCACCCGGAAAATCCCTGACTGTCATTGGTTCATGTATAATTTAGTACGCTATTATTTTGGCTCTCCCAAGGACGTTTCCACCATGTATAAATAAACTCGTTTTGCGTGCTTTTGAACCTCATATTTTGTGGGTGCTTGTAGAATACACTTTCTACGCCATATCAAGACTTCTTTCTCTACTTAGTGGGGCCTTAGGACGCTCGGATAAGAGTAGACTATCGTGTCACTGGATCATTTGTTTTCGCACTCGTTTACCGACTAAGGTGAACTCGTAATAGTTTCAAGCATATCAATTGAACAGTATAACAATTTCATTCTCTACAACAAAGCACAGTCATCATTGGACACTTTAAAATACAGTACAAACAAATTTGAATAAACCAATGGACTAAAGAAATCCATTGTATCACTAAAGTAGAAGGAAGAAGTTTAAATGAACAAGTTTTTCTTTTCAATGGTTTCATTCATTTCGGCTGTACACTCGCATTTACAGTTAGTTTATAAACTAAAATAGAAGTGTTGTGTAATTTTAAAAAATTTAAGAGATATGGTGTCATTGACTGTTTATAAAAATTAATTATTGAAAGGAAGTTTTTTTAGTTGACCAATGAAGATGGTTTATGAATGAATGAATGGATGAATGAATGGCTAAGTGAGTGAGTGAGTGAGTGAGTGAGTAGAAAACATCTTTCATTAAGATGCATTTATATGTGTTATCTAGTAAAGTTTTCACATCAACAGGCCTCAGACATAATTGCTAGATCGAATTTATGTCTGTTAAATCAAACCTCAAAGTGATTTTATGTGTAGTGCTGAATAAATATATTTGACATTAAATGGATCAAACGATGTAGTAATGGTGAGTGAAATAAAGAAATCGTACAGTATATATATATATATATATATATATAAGTACCCTACAAAATATATTATTGAAAATTATATCAAAGATCAAGATCGTTATAGTAATATAAATATTTCTTCTTAAATATTTGATTACCATAAAAATGTTTGGTGTAGTTCATATAAAATTTAACAGAAATCTAGACCGATAGATAGTGTAACGAAATTTCAAATTTCAAATCCAGTTGAATGTAGTATAATAAATACACACGAGATTCCAAGAATCACAATAACCTCAACAATCAGTAGTGTTCAGGCTTCATTACATAAAACAAAATAGCGATGTTGACACGAGGTTTTCATGATATCATGAAAACTTATTACAGTGTAATAATATTTGACGAAAGTCTAGCATGGACTTACTTTGTGGCACGATGCTCCCATATCACCGATATATTGAACACCACCGTTTGTGTTTAATACCCATATTTCATTTTCTCCATGACCGACACACATTGAATTAGGTCCAAAGTGTTGCATCAAAGGATTTTGTCCTATTAATGAAAATCATTTTTAAGAGATGAGTAGATCATCGTTTAATGTATAGGCTTACTACTTACTCTAAGATATCTAACATTGAAAATGAAAGATTTCCTTTAGAAATAAAGGAATTTATTTTCACTAATTTAACTCCATGAACTTAATGTATAATTAATATAATTCTCATTGTATTTAAATTTATCAAGTGATCAGGTTGTATGAACTATTACAGCTAGTTTAAGTAAAAACGTTTTAGAATAGTTTACTTCACAATGAAATCATGGTCATATATACAATGAAAGTATTGAAAACACAGTTGAATAAAAATTATTGTCCACTTAAGTAAAGTTCTACATCTTATAAAACCTAAGCTGTACTATGTTCAAAAAAAACATAGATATTGTAAATTTCAGGATAACCTAATGTCTTCACAAATTGTTTGCTTAATCCACATATCAAATATGTTCAAATAAATTTAGTTTATATTTATAGCAATAACTTTTTCTCACAGTTAGCTTATTCTTAAAGGGAAAACTTCAACAAGGCGGGTAGTCATATTATAATGTTTTTATGCGTTCAAGAAATGTTAGTGACAGCAACTTTACATATTTACAAGAGTTATTTATCCACTTGAAACCATCAATCAATCATTGTGAGACCACCATTAGAAACGTGGAAGCACTGGACGGCCGTTCCGTCCTGGTATGGGACTCATCAGCAGTGCGCATCCACGACCCCTGCATTTCGCAGGATTCTTACCCAGGATCCTCGGTATTGTGCGCGAACGCCTAGCCTCTGGGCCATTAGGCCGGCATCCAACAGTGTTAATATCTAACTCTGATTGATCTAGGGATTTTGCGTGACCTCACCCATTTGTCTTTGGTAGTTACTGCCTACACCCGACAGGATTGAACTCCACTGGTCACGTCTTCTCACTAGAACTCAGAGAATTTCCTTACGAAGCTAGTCACTAGTGAGAACATTTTACGATATTTTCAATAAGAAATATGGAGATCAGTGATTTTACACACTTGAAATCATCAATCAATCATTGTTATTTATCATAAGAAATCTCTTATTTTACGCTTCATAGTATAAATACCCAATATTCTGTCGTATTTTAAAGTTAATAGAATGGATCATTTAAACTCATTAAATCTTCAAAAAGCTTATCAAATCTAAATAATCTCATGTTATATTTTCTAAAGGTTGTTCATATCTGTGCAAGGTTACTTCGAAAAATATTTTCGTTCTATATGGATATTACAAATTGTAAATCAGAAAGACAAAACCTATATTTAAGAAAAAGAATTGGGAAATTAAAAAGATATTTCACAGTTTTATTTATTTGTAGAATAAAAATGTTTTTCTGCATTAGAATGACCCTGACCAATTACATAAATTTGAACTTAGAGAAAGAAAGCTTCATATTTCTGTTTCACATAATGATAAACTGTTGGTAGGTAGGAAAACTGAAGGTCAGAGTTGTGCTATGGGATATTCTGTAAATTTTCAAGCCGTTACAAACTCAGTAGTTAAAACTATTCAATACAGCTATAATTCCAGAAAAATAATTTATCACGATATCACGAAAGAAATGTAAGACTGTTTTTATTAGTCTCAAGTTAAATACTACTTAATATATACAACAAACGTTTGCACATTTACCAACATGTCAACTTAATTTACAATATTTTACAGGACAGTGAAGTGGTATATATATATTAACTATCTTGCAGTATTCGTGAATAAATCTGTTGGTTAATGAATCTTATCTGTTAATTTCGATTAGCTTTCGTGATATATTAAATGATATTTACAATTTCTTTTCATTGTTTTCAATAGACTGATAAGCCAGTTGCCTCAAACTACACTTGTTCTCTATGCTCAAATGTTGAAACAGTAAACATAATATCACTAAACCAGGCTCGTAATTTGCTTCGGTTCCACTAGAGATTAAAGTAAAATTATTTTAGTACCTATCGATTAAAACGCCAGACGATAGCTTTCAGTTCAGGTCAGGTCACCTTTGTAGTGAAAATGTATTTTCATATTACCAACCTACTAGCGGTAGAAGTGGATAGGACACACACTACGAAAAGCACCGAACTGCGTCACGAGACAAGCCCTCACATGGAACCCTCATGGTCAAAGGAAAAGAGGAAGGCCAAGAAACAGAGGAAGACATGAGAAGAATAAACAAAAACTGGAAAGAACAAGAAAGGGAAGCCCAAGACAGAGTTAGCGGGAGAAAACTGGTGGGCGGCCTATGCTTCATTGGGGTAACAGGAGTAAGTTAGTAAGTAAGTAAGTAACCTACTAGTTTTAGTGGGTAATATACATCAAAACAGTGAACTGGACCTTAGAGCTGTAGCATTTAGAAGGATTTTATGGTAACAAAATTCTATAACAGTTAGTAAGGCGAGTATTTGTTTTTTTTATCAATAAGACCACTTTATTAAACAAAGTAATATGACTAAACAGTTGTATCGGGATTTACAATAATTCGCTTCATAATTTGACAGATTACAGGCTCACTAAACTTTAGATTGATTTTCACACAGCGAATAGTGGTTAAAAGTATGGAACAAATGAAAATTTTTGTGAATCAATGCATTACTACTGACTGAATTGATAACACATAGTTGAGTTCCAATTTGTTACATTGTTATCGCTTACCTAAACGTGAATTATTTTCTTCATGTGTACAAACTGATGAATGATCAGTTCCTCGAATATTTGACATAGGCTATATAGGAAAGAAAAGAAACACTGAAATGTAATGTAAACTGTCATTAAAATTTTTTTTAAAAACAAATACAAACTCAAAATTATCAGAGCCGCATAACATGTACAAATGAGTGATGCAAAAAGAGGAAGAAATCTAAAGTCTCATATTCATAGAGAGAATACTGAGGCAGGCTCGATAGATTGCGCCTAGGGTAATGTGACAATTTTCCTACCCCTTCTTATTCTTTTCATATTACGTTAATTTTCTCTCTCCTTTATTTACAATTATCACCCTATGTCTATTTGAACTTTTATTTGATTGACCTTTTATTCATCTTCATATAAAATGCCTTGACAAGTAAATATGTGTGCCTAGATAGTTCTACCAAGGTTGCATTTGGCTAATTTACACTCTTGGTCAATTAAAAACGAAAACATCACATTGAACACTCTATTTGCACACCATCTTTGAGTCCTGACTTCCAACGCTCCAGCCTTCTTCCATTCCTGCTGTTGCTTCCTTTACTTCCTGTCGGTGCTCTATTTATTTCTTGCTTTTGCTCTATTTGCTTTCCGTTTTCCTCTTCTGACCGTGAGACTTCTTCTTTCACGTCCATTCTTATACTACTTATATCGTTCGTATAAGTAGCACACACCACAATAGTATTGTCCATTTTTGTCAACTTCATGTCCGACGATGAAGTGCCTATGCACCATTATAATTTTCAATCAACATTAACCAACACAATAATAAATGAATTAAGTCATTATTTAGTTATTTATAAGTAAACACGTAGAAAATTTCTTCAAAGTAGAATGAAACAACTCTGTTGTTTTTATACGAATTATCAATTTCAATCATTAATTTCATGCTATTAGTTGATCTATTTTTGGGAACAAATTCAAATTTGTCATAAATTATGCGAATTAACAATAATTTTATTGTTTTGTAGTTTATATAATATGCTAGTCACTAATGCTATTAGTTAGTAAGAATTAATCTTATTTTGATCGCTTACTCAAAGTTTCTAACTTCACGCCCAACCGTCGTCCTTTATCCGAGCTTAAAACTGGGAGTAACCCTAGAAGGGCTCTCTAGGCAGAGGTCAAAGTAAAAGAGGTAGATCAAAGAACATATTACTCTAAAAATTGGATACAACTATCAAAACAGTAAATAGCAATTGGAAACAACTGGAAAATAGAGAGGACGTCAGAATTAGTTGGTAAATCCTGCCTGGTAGGTGACCTATTCTCCACAAGGGGTAACAAATGTAAGTAAATAAGTAATAAGATTCTAGGTCATTTACCTGGAAAAATGCACATCCATCATGTAATTTACTATCGCCTGCTAAAAATTGACCATCTTTATGATTTTTTACATGTTGTTTTTCCGGTGAAACAGGCTGTGGATATCGTAACATGTTACAGTAATTATACGCCTTGTTATATGATACACATTTAGCACGTGTTGTATCAAAGTAATCACACCATGGATCAGTTGATTTGTTACTGTAGAAAATAAAAATTATTAATAATTTAAATTATTCAGTGAACTTATTTTTGCTGGTTAAAACAAGATAATTGTCCAAGGAGAATGAATGAATCTGTTGAGTTAATGCAGTGAGTGAATGATCAATCAAAGTAACTGATAATAGAAATCAAAATGAGACTTATTGATCGATCAAGTTAATATACGATAAATCTAACTTACAATAAAGAATTCTTTTGATTTTAACAAATTAATTATGATTCTATTCCGTTGGATATGTCATACAAACCAAGTATATATACTCAGCTAAATTAAAAATTAAATAACTGCGCTATATTAAACGAACTATCAGCTGACATGTTTAAACAATTCAAACTTTACATTGTGCAGTTGCGTAAATCAAGTTTCCCTAGAAAATATTCACTTAGTGATGGTTTCTGTAATCCGAATGCAAACTATTTATCACAGTGAGAAGCTTAAATTCATCAGTAATCAAATATCATTGTACAGGGACGAAAAACCAAAAGTTTGGTCTTTTATTTGATACTGAATCTAATATCCGCTCTAGTAAGTTTTCCAATGTTGCAAAAGTTTGGTTTGGCTGATTACCCTTGTCTGTTACCATTGAAACAACAACGAATTCAACAATTCTGTATAATTATGATAAATTAAATTTAAAATTGATGAACGGATAAAAAGTTTTGTCATCATTCATAATTTCATGCTTGTTTATGCTCACAATGAGACGACTAAACAGAGGAAAATATAAAGTAGAAGTCAAAGACCATACAAGAGATCAGTGAGGAACATGACTGAAGATATCTTGGTAGGAGTTGTTTGATTCTGTGTTACAGTAGAGGAATTCAGTAAGCAAAAACCATTACCAACAAACAATCACCGGGGGCTTTTAGCTACACATAGCTGACTAAAAGGAATAAGTAGTTTTAATAGTTTGTGGTGAATATCAGCCGTATAGAACTGTAAATTTTCACATCCATATCAGTAAAATCTGCCATTGTTTTCTCAATATATTCTTATTTTTGTAAACCTAACTATTGCATTTGAACAAGGAAATATTAATTGATCAAGATATACATAAGACTTTTCGTTTAATTAAAGTCATATAAGAAGTTAAAATATTATAGTATAATAAGTAAGTAGAGCTGTTACGTCTATCATTGTTTTTAATGGGATGAATACTTCAAACGTTTTTCATCTCATTTGAATTCTGTCAAAAATTGGTTTCAGGTATTTACGCGCTTAATTAAGAAAATATCATTAATTCAGACTTTTCACAAACCATAAATATACGAAATGCATCATGTTTTTTTCACCACATTACTCACCGAGATCTCTGAATGGTCAAGTATTCAAAACAACTTTTTGTCACAAAGTCACATCCTAAATTTCTTCCCCATTGCCAGTCTTCAGCCATCTTGTAATTAACATCGTACCACCTAGTATATAGAAGTACAAAACATAGATGTAATATTGCCAAAATAATGAATGAATGAATAAGTGGATTCTTTTCAAATATAAAGCAATTTGCAACCAAAAATTTATGTATCCCTCAATCTTACTTCATTGCTTAACAGCAGTATAAAGCATATAAGTATTCCGCAAACGATTTAAAAAGTCATAACTTTCCATTTGAATGTGAAACATGACTGTTAATCAATTAAGGGATAAAATAATCTGAATTTATTCATAGTGTCATACTGAACTAAGATAATTTATCACTAATCATGATTTTCACTGGACTTTATTTCGGTTCAGTCAAAAAATAATTAGTTATCATAGAATGTTATCAGCTTGGTAATTATTGAAAATGCTTTCGAAATCTGACGGCTTTTATATTCTTTAAGCTTAAGTACATCAGGAAGACTTAGCTGTTGTTTATAATCCGTGATAAGTTATCATCGAAGTCAGAATTTTCAACAGATACTCCAGATCTGTTGGCCGGATACTTTGAGCAACAACCTATCGTGGTAAAGAATAAACTAGCTTTCTGCTGAAGAGGAAATTAGGAAAAAATACTGGAGATGGATAGGATATACATTCCGGAAATCACCTAACTGCATCACAAAGAAGCCCCAGCTTCAAATCATCAAAACAATAGAAAAGAAGGAGATCAAGGAAATGAAAGCAAGTATCAAAATAGTAGTTAGCAGTTTGCGTTTTACAAGGAGTAACAGGCTTAAGTAAGTAAAGCAAACTGCCATACGCAAAAGTGTTTTAAATGAATAAACAGTAACAAAGAATTAATTATTTTCATCTTTTCAAACTGTACCAAGTTTACTCAATTTTGGATACACAAAAAACGTCAGAAGCATGAAATTTATGACCCAGTAAGTGATTAAATTGACGATCAGATATTAACATTGCCTAAAAGTTATTCACTCACCCAGAATCTTGAAAAACTGATAGAGTTAGCCCGGAAATAACTGACGGTAGTTCAACACTGCCTGACATAAGTTCATCCTAAAGAAAACAACTCATTAAATTAATACTTCCTGAATACATATGTAGTTCATTCAAATTAGATAGGAAACACAAAAATCTAATAAACTAAACCAGGTATTATATTTCTGTATCCTTGATATTCATAGGACGGGACCTCTTTTTGTTAGGAAATGCTTTGTTACAAAGTATACGTTTATAGTAACACAGTCGTTCCGTAGATGCTTAAGTTAACAGTAATTAATTTAGCCATTTTCTAGTTGATGCTTTGACTGAAGATTTGGTTTTTATCAAAATATATCGTCCTAAGCAGTTAAAAATGGTCATTGGAGTAAAAAAGTGTGAATTCGATTCAATGGTTTGTATTTACTTAATACGAGTTTGTAAACATGTATTTTACAACAACTGTATCTTATGATGTGTCACAGTTCGTTCAAACGTCTGTCTATATATACAGTCATCTTTACTGTCGCTTATTATAATACTTTACAATGTTACTGACATAAATTAACGGACGCTGAAATCATGACATCGGTAAGAATCCGGTAGCCGTTTCTTGAAGGATACAAACCTGGGGTCAAACAATTTATGTCATTGTTTCTTAACCACTGTCATTCTCGTACCGTCTGGTAGAAGAAACACTTGAACAGTATTTGGCTAAGCAAGCTTATTACAGTGAACGTAGATATTAAAGTGTTTTTATTTTAACAAAATTTAAGAAACAGTGACTAAACAACCGCTAATCAGCCTCAGCTGTTATAATAAAGTAGCGGATAGTATTCATACTTATAACTACTATATCTCAAATAATTGTGAAAATTATTTAAAACTTGTTATATATAACGCTAATAATGTCTGTACATTAGATAATCGTTATGAACAGCATTGGCTAAACTTTACCTGGGATTAAGATTGTATTCATGATTTATAAATAGGACCATGATTTCTGAGCATTTATATGAGGCTATTTGACCGATTAGGGTTCATTATGATAAAGATTATTTAATGTATAACTGAGAAAATCTATCAGTCTGCTTAGTGCATATAAATGAAAAGTAAAACCACCGTACTTTTTCTACTTACATGCACAACTCTTTTCTCAAAATGTGTTAAGAATGTAGCAGTACTGCCTTCATTTTCAAGATCCACTCCGTCTAGGTTTGGACAGTTGAAATGACTTCTAGCAAATTTCTAAAGCAAAAAAGAACATGTTTAATTGAGATCATGAAATGATCTAAGACAGACAGCAACTGAAAACGTAGAAGCATCAGATGGCTTTTTCATTAGTGCTCGTCCACTACCCCTCTGTCGAAGGTTGAACCCAGAACATGAGGCCGCGCACATGAGTGCTTAAACTCTAATGACTAAGCCGACATCCAGTAGGTTAGAAGTCTAATTATGACCATTCTGTGATATTACGTGGCCATCCTCCGTTGTCTTTGATGGGTTGTATAATGATCTTATTAGACCTATAGTTGTTCGATTTTATTTCATGTAAGTTAATGAAACTGAACTACTACATAATTACAAACGTTATTGTAAGCTTTTATTGATCTTTATATGTTTCCAGAGTTTTAGTTACTACCTGTTACGGAGTTTACACTGGAAAATCCTTTTTAAACTTTATCTAACTTATTATTCACAGTTTTAAATACAAATGGTAGTTAATAGTTTTGTGTGTGGAATGAAACTAATAAATATAAACTATTACAAATTATTCTGATACAATTTAGATTCTGTATCTTAAGTTTTCTACTCCACTAGTGAACACTTTTATCACCTCTATTTCATACAGAATTGTAAATATATAAGAATATATTTGTTTAAAATAGTTACTCACTGGCACAAAATTTGACTTGTCAGTTTTACCTACATACTAAATCTACATTTCAAAACAATTCATGATACAGATATTAAATGTTTCCACGAAATAGTGAAAGATTTAACAATAATAACAAATAAATATTAAAAGGCAGTGAGAAAAAATTCAGACAAATCACATACCAAAACATTCGGAAGAACGAAAGCTCCTATTTTTCGTGTCAATGAAATCTTAGCAGATTTCCAAGTACGAGTAACTTCATTAACGACATTATTACTGAATTAGAGAAAGTAATATTTAAAAGACACAAGTTATCTATTAACATGTGAGATAAAAAATCATGGTTACTAAAGGTTTATTATCAGAGGACAAAACTTTTTGAACAGTTCTTATTTGGCATATTTTCATCTTGTGTGAATTACCTCAATATAGCTAAGTTTCACAGAATAGATGAACTCCCATTTCATCCTATTTGAGACTTGTGTGCAGGATGTACCCACATGTCAGTATTGGGACTTTGAGACTTCGAACCCGTTACTTTACTTTCAGGTGTCCAACGCGTTGCTCATTGAGATATTAAGTCCCTATACCAATCAACTTATTCAATGAATATGATAATTTTATTATTATTGACAAAGTTTTGAGCTATTTCATTGGTCATATTCGCGGCTGAAACATTTATTTATACCTCATTATGAATGTATATAAATTTTACTGTTTTAAAATTTCAACAAACTTCTGGTTGGGAACGTGATCAATTTTAAAACCACATGTTACTTTTTAGTAGAACACAACATCCTGTGGGGTTTATCTATGATTATATAAAACTGGCTATTAGTTGAAATAAATGGTTGACATTATTCACATCTCGAAATAGAATCCTTTTTTGACAATTATGAAAGTTAGTGCTATCATTTACGGGGAATAGGTATTTTATCGCAACGCTAAAATCGTCAGTCTTGTTAATACAAATTAATTCAGAATTTGTTCAATTTGTTAGGATTCAAATTTATTCAGTGTAATCACTATCTATCATCAGTGACTTACCTAGGAGCGAATACACCGAATTCTCCCCTTTTAGTGTTTGGCATTCCTGTAACACGATCACGTTGTGTTCGTGGTTTACCACTCTCATCACGATAAAAAGCGTAAAGATTTCGGTTGAAACCCTAAAAACATGAAAAGTATTCTGCATCAGTTATCTCATTCAATTTACAAATTCAATTAGTTAAGTAAGCGAGATTTCATTCTTGTAGTCATAGCCAACATGCTTCGTTAAAAAGTAAAATTATTTAGAAAGCTATGATTCGTAAAAAATCAAATTCTTCACTATTGAATATTTCATGGTTATATTTGAAATTATCCGGAACCAAACTGGGAACACTTGAATCTAGTAGGAATAATATCATTTTTGAGTTGTTCTATGATTTGTGTTGAATATTCGGTCAGTCATCTATGTGATTTAGGGCTTATTATTAAGTCTTACATAAAGGAGGGTGCTTTTAAAGAATTAAACATGGAGAAACTTGAATAGAACTGGGGAAAATAGCTGGTTCTGCAACTATAAGGGCTGATATACAATACAACCTTTTGCTCTAGGACTAGTAGAACCGCCCCTAGATCGTAAAGCAAAAGCCGGAAGAAAAACAGAGGAAACATTTGCTCCAATAAGTGTCTAAAATGTACAGAGAGAACATATGTATTTATTGTTTTCCGTATAGTGAGAACATCCCTAGAATCATACAATCCACAATTAGCACTGTTACATCACCATCCTGTTAACTTATACCGCACTAATATTCTAGAAATCCTATCGAGCTGTGATTGGATCGAAGCGCTTTGGCTTCTTAGGAGCCACTGTAGGCTTCTGAAAGCCATCCCAACAAAAACTCGATGAACTTCATTGGCGCACAGCAAGAAATTAGATGTGACTATCTTTCTTCGAGATATCATGATGGCATGTTTAACTCACGAGAGATTGATATTGTGTATGTGTATGCAAAGTGAAAGCGAAGAGGTTTTGGCCAAATAAATCTTCCTGATGCCAGTGATCAAGCGTTGAAATGTAGGGATGCAATTATGTCAAAATGACGCCCAAACAAGCAACACATGTTTATAATAACTCATATTATTTTATAAAAACGTGGTGTTTTAGAATAAGAGATATTTCGATTAAAATTATATGGACTAAATATTTCAGAGATAGCAGAACAAAATATAACTTACTAATGCATGTCCTATTTCATGAATTGCTGTATACAATAACATTTTACTAAATGGATATTTTTCATCCAAACGATTCGGGCAAAAATTTATAAATCCAAGGACTGGACTGTTGTCAGAATATGAACAGAAAATTATTATAAAATAAAAAGTTTAGATCATACATACTAGGTGATGAAGAACTAGAATTAAGGATATATAGACATGACTTCATCATAATGATTTAGTACGCTTTGAGAAAATGTGACCTTTCTGATAGGAATTATAAAGAGAAACCAATGTGAAGAACAGTCATTTTACAAATCACTGTTCAGGTTCCAGGTTCAGGTTTGATTAGCATACTCTACAGTTAACCAAAAATCGCACACTCAGGAACAAGCGCAAAAAAAGACGACCAGTAGTAGGTCTCAACATAAATGAAGGGAAAAGCAATACTCTACGATACAACACAACATACGTCAACCAAATCTCTCTTGATAGAGATGCCTTGGAGGACGTAAAAACCTTTAAAAATCTGGAGAGCATCATTGACGATCAAGCTGGATCTGTGGTGGTGTTTGGTTCTCTGAGCTGGATGATTTGGTTGTGCTAAATCATCATCATTCATTATATTTTAACTTGACATTTTAAGAATTCGTTCACCTGACATTTAGACTACAGTCGATTACTAGAAAATTCATTTCACAGACCAAAATATGTTCATTTATAGACCGCTTTTTAAGGGGAATTTTTTTACCATTTATTCCAAATAGATCAGAAATATATCCAACCTATCTGAAATAATCCAAAGTTAAAATGAACTAATTGTCTATTTTACACGACCTTCAGCGTAACTCCTATTTGCATCACTCAGTATATCCGTTGATGTGAAGACAGACTAATTGTAAATATAAATGTATTCTTTTCTTAACCATATCTGTAATCATCAGGACTTTACTGGAACTGTTTTCTTCTTATCTTAGTCACAATTATTGTATTTAACAACAGTTCAGTTTATACCAGTTAATAAATGCATTATTCTTCTAGTCACAAATATAATTGTGAAATATATATATATATATACATATATATATATATATATACATATGCTTACCGATCAGTATTTCCTTCCAACTGACATGAATTCGCATAAGCTATCAACCATTCATCATTACATAAACCAGCTGGTGAAGCATCAATTATCATTATATATCCATTGCCTGGTATACCGGAACCATCAAATCCACTAGTTCCACTGCGTGTTCTACATGCCTTTTAATTTTTTTAAAAAAAATTCAACAATAAATTGATCGTTATTACAGAAAATGAACTATTTATTGTTGATAATTGTAAAAGTTCATTTATGATTATTTCATGCTTTTATATTACTGTTAATTCTCAGTTGAAAATGTAATCAATCAGAAAAGATTTCATAGATCCAACTAGATTGTAATCAAAATAACTGATATTTATAAGCAGTTGACTAGTGGGGGCTGCGAATAAACTAATGTTCTGTGGAATTTTTTCTTAACTCTGATTAAATAGGTTGTCTTTTATATTTTAAAATCGTCTGCAATGGCGCAGGTGCATCCACTCTTTGTGTTCTCCCTAATTCTAACCTTCTGAATTCCTCATAATCTCTAGCTTTCTCCTTCTAAATTTATCTCACTGAATTATACTTTTCAAATCATATCTTTGCTCCCTAATCTTCTCCATAACTGCTAATAATTCTACTATCGCTGTCACTCTTGGTTTTGAACTGACAGTTGTGTCTCTGTGCTGACGTGGTATGGCAACCTGAACTGATGTACTTATGTACGAAGTTCTGCGTTGTATCTGTCTATCTGTCTTTTATACCTTAAACTTCAATCAGTAATTGAAGAAAAAACTTACAGCTTGAATGATACTGTACTTATTGAGTGGCTAGAAGGTACTTAGCTGTATCATGTGTGAAATCAAAAGTTCATGTTGCTTATAAGTCCCAAACTATCATTAAATACAGGTTTAAAGTTCTATTGGTTCCAGAAAGTTCTGTTTATGAAGAGAGCTAATTTAAAATTATCCTCTTCTATCTTATCAGTAGCATACATAAGGAATACAAGCATATTTTCGAAATAGTGAGATAAAACATCAGACTTCAACTGTTATCTAACTATGATACGATAGTCATTAAATTCAACCTTCCACTGACTTTTTGCTGGAAATTTTTATTCCTTGATCGTAAGAAACATTCATTTTATTGGAAAAATATTTACTGATGATTACAACAACGACGATCAGGATTTACAGATTGTTAGTAACTGTTCTGTTCTATGTAGCTAAAATAATTTATTCACAGTCCTCTTTATCAGTTAGATAAAATAATAAATTTAGAAAGATTTCTGGATCGCATTATTTGTTTAAATAATCTTTGGGAAAGAAAATTGAATAATTTCATGCATTGTCATGCATATACTTATAGTCTTACTTGTAAATAATTCTTAGGTACTTGCATTGTATGACATTTAGCTGATTCAAGACATGTTTGCTCACAAACTATATCAATTGATCCATTTTTTAAAGGAGTGAACCAATGTCTATCATTTACACAATCTCTATATTTTAAGAAAAGGGATATAAAACAGAATGAATCATATAACAGTCAACAAGAAACAAACATTGTCATGAATGAATTTGTCAATCTTCAGAAGTTCAGAAATTGTTTTCTTGCTTGATTTGTTTACTCTTTATATATTTCAATTAGCTTTTATGAATAATATTTTCATAACTTTTCACTAGATTAGTCATAATAAGATGAGATGAAAATAATAGTTTTTTTAATGTAGGGAACTCACTCAGTTCTCACTTACGCCAGTTACCCCCAATGGAGCATAGGCTGCCCACAAGTTTTCTCCAACCAACTCTGTCCTGGACTTTCCTTTCCAGTTCTTTCCAGTTTTTGTTGATTCTTCTCATGTCTTTCTCTATTTCTCGACGTAATGTGTTCCTAGGCCTTCCTCTTTTCCTTCTGCCTTGAGGGTTCCATGTGAGGGCTTGTCTTGTGACGCAGTTCAGTGCTTTTCGCAGTGTGTGTCCTGTCCACTCCCACTGCTTCTTCCTAATTTCCTCGTCCAATGGAATCTGGTTCGTTCTCTCTCAAAGTAAGTTGTTGCTGATAGTTTCTGGTCAACGAACCGGAAGTATTTTGCGTAGACAACTGTTCATAAATACTTGTATCTTCTGGATGATGGCTTTCATAGTTCTTCAGTTTCTGCTCCACACAGTAGAACTGTCTTTATATAGGGAACTAGATTACACTAACTAAAAACATTAGCTTCATCAAAGAACTAAATTACTGGATGAATATGTGTTTAGGTTCTTATCACTTCATAGGTTTTGGTCAGTCAGTCAGTTACAACGTAGAACTTCGTACGTGAGTACATCAGTTCACGTTGCCATACCACATTAGCACAGAGTCTTTTTCAATAACTTGATAAGGATTGCAAAACCTATTCTATTCGACAGGTTTATCTGAAGTCAAACAAATCAATTTTTCCAGCGAACAATCGCAATTTTTGTTGTATCCTTGTGTACACAGCACTGCTTATCACTCAAACCAACACATAGTGGTTTGAAAGTCCTATAAGTATACTACAAAGTTGAATAATAGCACGTTCATAATAAAATCATTGGAGAATAAGACAAGTGTGTGTGTGATTTAATCATAAGATTTTTCAATGAATTCAAATAAAAACAACATTCGTAGAAAATAATTTTCTGATATGATATTCAATAAATTACAAAATGTCATACGAATTTTGTTAAGTTACCTTCTGATAAGGATATTTCTATTTGATGGCCGTTTAACACTGAGAGCATTTTGCCAAAAAGCTAAAGCTTTCTCAACTATTTCATTCTAAAAACAGAGAATGTGCAGTTTTTTTAATGTAACAGTCAAATGATAGTAAATATTTTTCATTTTTTTGTTTAGGTCTAATCCTATTCAGTAGATGCTAGCTTAATGGTCTAGAGGATGAGCATTCGTGCATTAGATTGAAAGTGCTGGGTTTGATTCCCGTTTACAGGATCGTAGATGTGAATTGCTGATGAGTCGCATACTAGGACGAAACAGACGTCCAGTTCTTCCGGATTTCTAATGGTAGTCTAACGTTGATCAGTCAATGATTTTAATAAATAGATTATATTGAGCAATATATTTACTAGATTCGTATGTTAAGAATATATTTTCATGGCATTTTGAAGGTTTAAAAATGGTGAATTTGCTTACTGCCCCAATTCCTTTTGTCAATAAGGCTGGTGATCGGGATTTTCGTTTGGAATTAATAGATCTACTAACTGATACCAACGAAATTCAAAATTGCAGTCATTGCATGATCTGGAAGATTTTACGCTTAAAACGTTCATTTTCGCATTAAAGTTGTATTTTTGAACAAGCACTTTTCTATGAAGCCCTATGAATCAGAGATCTGATCTCAGTTTATAGGAAAAACAAAATAAAGAGCCAGTATAACATTACACGATACGATAAAATGATTCTTGATTAAAACCCTATTATTAAAACATTGAACAGTTTTATTTATTTCACTGATAAAAGTGACATTAACTTTGAAGATCGGTTAACTAGATGTGAATTCCGCTCGTCAATAATGCATATCAGTTTATTTCAATTTACCTTTAAAAAGTCAGATTTCGGAGTATTGTAGAAATTCGGAGCATACAAAGGTATGATTTTCAAACTTTGACTATTGATTTGACGTGTTTGTATGCCTTGTGCAAAACCTCCATGTGTCTAATAGTTGTACAATATATAGATTATTAATATTTAGAAAAAAAGTAATTTTAAAACATACAATTTTCTCCATCGGTTGTAGTTTACAAACATGTTGACAATTCACTGAGGTAATAAAGTAGTAGAAAATTATGAAATGAATAAGCGACTGAGTGATTATCATCTTCTTTTTCGGTGTTAATATTGTTCTTTTTCGAGTAATTTCTAAATTACAAAATGTTTACTTACGGTTGTTCATGCATATTTATATACATCAAGATTTAAACAAACTTCCTGATTATTGGTTCATTTTCAATTGAAACTCTTGTCATGAATTGAGTTTATGTAGTAGTGTAGTGAACGAGAACATAGGTGGGGCAACCGAATTGTATTTAACGAAAATTACAGAGTTACTCAGTAAAATTGGAAAACCACATAGTAAATCGTTCATTTGCAAATTATCAGTCCATCCTATCGAACCGGACTGTTCCTGTTGCAAAACATCAATCTATTGTCACTCACTATTCATGCGTTTCATACAAATTCCATTGTGTTTTCTAACTCTTCCTTTCTTGATCTTCCCCCCATCTTCTGCTGCCAGGCATTACGTTGACACTCACATCATATACTACTTATAAGTAGCTCACACCACAGTAGGAAGCACGGTTTTTTTCTTAATTTCAAACAGATGATGATGATGATTAGTATTATTATTATTGTTAATGTTATTATTCTTTTATGATTAATGAAATTATTTCTAGCACTTATAGTCTCATATGTTTGTTGGTACATTTCAGAGAATTATGCTTTAACGAAAACACTAGATATATGAATTAGATTTCATGCAACGCTAATTACTACAAATAAACATTTATGACCTTGTTACAAACCGAGTCTTGGACATTGATAAGGAAGTGATTTACCGAGACGCAACTTCTAGTGGTCACTGTTGTAAAGGGCGAAACTGGAGTAAAACAACTGTGTGATATTCCATGGTTTTTTAATATATTTCTGAGCGTTATTTAGTTCTGTCATTGAGTCAAATCGAACTTAGGTACTCAATTTGTAATCTTTCATTTTTATTCTATATGCTCTTTTTCTAAATTCTAAACTGCGAGAATAATGGAACTACTAAGTTTAGTAGGTTCGAGAATACTGGTCGATGGCCCATGCTCCATTAGGGGTAACAGGCGTAAGTTTAGTAGAAGAGCTAATGAGCTAATTTTTAAAACTGTTCAAAATCAGTAAAGTGACTATTCAAGTCAATACTAAAGTGAACATTTTCAGCTAGTACATCAAAATGGAAAAGATTTACCGTGTCAGCAGTTTCTCATATTCACAATCCACACAAACTAAATAATTTTCGAAGAATATTTGAAAGTAAAATGGTTTCATTGCGTTCTCAATGCATTAGCTGACTGTATCTGGATCTCGATATTATTCACTCTGAGACTAAAGCACTATGTCCATCGCTTCAAATGTCAGTACATGATCTACTGAGACTCCATAGAGCCATTAACTTATGTGAAGAATAGAATGGTATAGGGAAAGGTTTTTAATTTCTCATCGCTGATACTCAGAGCTGAACTATTCTATCTCCGTTCAACATGCACTTCCTTTATGTAGCTTTTATCGTACGTTTTCCACATATATTTAAGCCTTGACTAACATTGAAATCTGGAACTCTCGTCCCTTTTTCGGTATTAACAAAGGGAAAATTCACTCTCTTGTATATGACTGTACACTTGTTAAACAAGTTGGTCTCTCTTTGAACTCAGTAGCTCAGTCGATCACTTTCTAGTGTTTGCAGTGGTATGTACTACGTCGTAGTCTCAGCGTGAACATCAACACTGAGATGCGGATATTTTCGATTTGACGAACTGAGAACCGGATGAAATGTGTGTTCTGGACTCAATTGTTAACCATAATTAAAATGTATACTATTAGCTAGTAAGGAAAAAGCTCGGGATGGACGTATTGGAACAGAGATTGATGATACCTAATCCTAAATAACAGTGATGGAAAATTACAGACCCTAACATAATTGGTCTAAGTTTAAAATTACGCCTACATCTGTTTGCAAAACAGTAAATTTTCTTACAAACCATCAAGTTTGGTATGATATTTGATACGTGAGTTTGAAAAACCGAGTTAGAACTATGTTCTACTCATACAAATCACTAAGAAACAGAAAAATATTCTGCAGATATTAGTCATCGAGTCAGGAAAATTTAACATAACAGATTGTAAGCATAAGATCTTCAGTAGAATGCTGTGTGATAGTTCTCTTATCCTCGTAGATATTAACAGCAGTTTTTTTTATAATAATCAGAGTCATACACGCACACTGTAGCCATGTTACTTAGAATCGGCTCCTCATCTTGGGATGTGTGGCACTCAGGATGAACTGAAATTTGAACCATGTTATTTACTCTTTTAGATTCTTCCTTGAATTATACATTCAGACAATTTGCAGAATTTATCCTCAAAAATCCCATATAATTGGTAAGTGCATTTGCCCTTCTGGCAGTAATTATTCCTAATCATTACACAATAAACCTTAAATCATTGAGATTTTCAAATTAAACTAGACTAGAAATAAAAAGACTCTTTAATTTAGAGATACTGACTGCACTGATACCAATATCAAGTAAATTGTTGCATACTTTCTGTCTAATTTACAATGTATGATATTTGTCTTAAGTGAATTGTTCAATAAATAGCCCAGTTCCGTGAGATTACAGATAATTAAAAATGAAATATTTAGAATTATTAATTGCACTTTTAAAAATTATTTCTTTATGTCTCATGGGTTAAATAATTCAATTTCATTCCATACAATTGCTTTCGTCACGAGATTTTTTTCTAAACTTTAGAATAAAAAGTATATTTGATATCTTTCTCGAAACTACAATTACTTAATAAAATGTCTGTCTATCTTGTATTTAAATCAATCCAAGTTTGATAGTTAGTTTAACGTAAAATCATCATTTGCGCACAACCCTGAATACTTATAATTTAAAATTATCTATAATGTGAGAAGTACTGAGTTTGTGCGGAACGCTTCAAGTAACATAAGAATTTACGGCCTAACACCATAATTCAGATGATGCATGAAATCTTGAAGAAATGAATTTCAAACACTAATCAATCTTGGTTTGTATGTTTTGTTATTAAATGAATTCTAGTAATCACTGAATGTTTAGTTTAATTCGCCAATATTTAGTTTTGATTTATTCACAAACTTTTCTGTTTTAGTGTAATACATAGTTCTTTAAATGAATTTAAATGATTTTTGTCTTTATTCAACATATTGTTGAAGAAGTTAGATCCCTAGAACTCACTTGAAAAAGGTCCTAATTTTGTAATTTATTCTGAAATTTTTGAATTTTTATGTTTCCGCGCTAAAGACGCTTAGTTGACCTTCAGCTTACATTTCCCACTCACTAAATCCTTGACTGTCATTGGTTGATGGACTACTTAAGTGCGCTATTTTATGGCTCTCACCAAGGACGTTTTTATCATTGTATAAATAAGCTTCAGTTGTGTGCTTGTGAACCCCAACCTTTCTGGATACATGTAGAATATATTCTCTACGCCTTATCAGTTCTTCCTCTAGTCAGCGGGACCTGGGACAATCGGATTAGAATAGCCGATCGCATCACTCTATAGTTGACCTTCGTTCCGTTTACCGAGTAAAGTGAACTCGTAAAAGATGCAAGCATATCAGTTGGCGAGCACATTACATATAATTATACTACATCCATTCCAGTACTACACTGAATTTGTTCTTCCTACAAACTTTTAAGTCAAAATAAGTCTTTTCATCAATTCATTTTCATAATTTATATTTTATAGTAATAAAAACATATCGACGTAAACGAAGAATATAATTTTCAATAATTACCATTGGTTTCACAGTTATACATCTAAATTGACGTTTTAAAGCGACAACCGCGTTTAAGGTGAATAAGATTTTAAAAACAATAACTCATGAATAAATCAATAGTTAGTTATTTAAAACATTAAGTCTGTTTAGTAAATTTGGACACTTAAATAACAAGATGAAGATTATCAGAACTATGTAAATTATTAGCGCAATATATTTCGAAACTCCGCCTATAGAACCTTCGGGGCTACTATCGGTCCCAAGCACGGACAAAAGAGGTGAGCTGAGGATGAGGTTGGAGACTCCATCCCACCAAAAAAACTAACTCGCTACAAAACGCTAATTAGAACTAATAATTCAAGCCATTTTAACTCTGCCCTGGGAGTTGCAAGAAGAGATATGACGTCTCATGATGAAAGCCGAGTTCCCCCGGAAGTCACAAGACGGATGCCCCTTCTGACAACCAGAACAATCATTCTTTCAGGAACATGGAACTTTCGTACATTGTGGGAGACTGGAAGACTATTTCAAGTTGCGGCAGAAATGAAAAGATACAACCTAAAGGTGCTCAGCATCAGTGAAACGCATTGGACACAGGTAAGACAACTCAGAATAACTTCAGGAGAACTGCTGTTATACTCTGGTCATGTAGAGGAAAATGCTTCACATAAATAACGATTTGCACTGATGCTGTCCTAGCAAACATCAAAGGCACTGATAGGATTAGAATCTCATGGACACAGGATCATTAAAGCATCCTTCAAAACAAAGAAAGAGGACATTACAATGAACGTCATCCAATGCCATACACCTACCAACAACTACAATGACGACGATGAAGATCAATTCTATGAAAGGCTGCAGTCAATCGTCGACAGATGTTCACCAAAGGATTTGACAATTCTGATGAATGACCTAACTGCTGAGGTTGTTGTGGACAACAGTGGGTATGAAGTCATCATGGGACGACATGAACTAGGAGAAAGGAACGAAAATGGTGAAAGATTTGCAAACTTCTATGCCTTAAACAAACTGGTCATCGGTGGCACAATATTCCCTCACAAGCGCATACGCAAAGCTACAGGGATTTCACCGGATCACACTACTCAGAACCAAATCGACCATATCTGTGTCAATAAAAAGGGGCTGACACAGCCTCAAATCACCACTTGCTGATCGCCAAAATGAAAGTGAAACTAACGAAGCAACGGACAAAGGGGCATATGACATCATAGAAGTTTAATAGAGCCTTTCTTTGGGATATCGTAAAACGCAACGAATTCAAGATAGCCTTCAGCAATAAGTTCCAGGCCTTGCACGATATACTCAATGGAGAGGAAACAACCATGGAGAACAGTTGGAAAGGAATCAAGGAGGCAATCACTTCAACATGTCAGGAGGTTCTGAGTCACAAAAAGTACCATCATAAGGAATGGATCTCTGTTGATACTCTTGCAAAAATTGAAGAAAGGAGGAACAAGAGCAGAGTAAGTTAAGGCACAAGCTGCATACACAGAAGCAAGCAGGGAAGTGAAAAAGAGCGCCAGACCTGACAAATGTAAATATGTGGAACACCTAGCAATGACGGCGGAAAAAGCTGCAACAGACAGAAACTTTAGACAATAGTACGAAACAACAAAGAAGCTGGCCGGAAACTATCGTAAACCAGAACGACCAGTGAAAAGCAAGGAAGGGAAAATAATCAGCAACACTGACGAACAGCAAAATAGGTGGGTAGAGCACTTTAAGGAACTCTTGAATCGACCAGCTCCACTGAACCCACCCAACATCGAAGCAGCATCCACGGACCTCCCAATTATTATTGGCGCACCTACAATTGAGGAGATCAGTATAGCCATAAGAAAAATCAATAACGGCAAAGCAGCAGGTCCAGACAACATTCCAGTAGAGCCAATGAAAGCAGATGTGGAAGCAACTGCGAAAATATTTCACATCCTCTTCAAGAAGATTTGGGATGAGGAACAAGTACCATCAGATTGGAAAGAAGGATACCTGATCAAAATACCAAAGAAAGGCGATCTCAGCAAGTGTGAGAACTACAGAGGCATCACTCTTCTTTCAATACCAGGCAAAGTCTTCAACAGGGTATTGTTAAACAGAATGAAGGACTTCGTAGACGCCCAACTTCGAGATCAACAGGCTGGATGTCGTAAGGATCGATCGTGTACTGACCAAATTGCTACATTACGGATCATTGTGGAACAATCAATTGAATGGAACTCACCACTCTACATCAACTTCATCGACTACGAGAAAGCATTCGATAGCGTGGACAGGAAAACACTGTGGACTCATCTTCGACACTACGGGGTGCCTGAGAAAATAGTCAACATCATACGGAATTCTTATGATGGATTCAACTGCAAAATCGTACATGGAGGACGGCTAACAGACTCTTTCGAGGTGAAGACCGGTGTGAGGCAAGGTTGCTTACTCTCACCCTTTCTCTTTCTCCTGGTCATCGACTGAATTATGAAGACGTCGACATCTGGAGGGAAGCACGGTATCAACTGGACAGTTAGGACGCAGCTGGACGATCTTGACCTCGCAGATGACCTGGCTCTTTTGTCGCACACGCAACAACAAATGCAAGAGAAGACAACCAGTGTAGCAGCAGCCTCTGCAGCAGCAGGTCTTAACATACATAAAGGAAAAATCAAAATTCTCCGATGCAACACAACATGCATCAATCAAATCACTCTTGATGGAGATGCCTTGGAGGACATTAACACCTTTACATATCTGGGCAGCATCATCGACCAGAAAGGTGGATCCGATGCAGATGTGAGGGCGCGGATTGGCAAAGCAAGGGCTGCATTTCTACAGTTGAAAAATATCTGGAACTCCAAACAACTTTCAACCAAAACCAAAATCAAGATTTTCAATACAAATGTGAAGACAGTTCTACTGTATGGAGCGGAAACATGGAGAACTACCAAAGCCATCATCCAGAAGATACAAGTATTTATGGACAGAGAAGTCCAGGACAGAGTTGGTTGGAGAAAACTGGTGGGCGACCTTTGCTCCTTTGGGGGTAATAGGCGTAATTAATGTTAGTAAAAATTATCGTTTTTTCTATAGTTCCTTTGTACACCATTTACAAATTTCTAACCTCAAGATTTTAACACCACTCCTTGTATGAGGAATTTCATCTTTTGATAAAATATAACCTTAATAAAATGTTTGTTTTTAAGTAGTATCACAAATTAAGATTTCATAGTAATTCAATCTGGTTTGATTGAACGTAAATCTGTAAACAGATTTATTTTCGTTTGAGTTCAACAGGAAATAAAATTTGAAATATGAATCATTGTACTCATAATTTTATAAGTAGTTAAATCATACAAATGAAAATAAACAAGAATTTGGTATTATTTAGTGTAGTGAAACTGTCATTTCACTCCCCCATATAATTATGAAGTCTAATTATCAGAAAATATCATCCTTGCAAAACCAGTTAATGGGCGTGTAATAATGGTCATCACTTATGAAAATAAACTTCACCAATATTTAATACCTATTTAAAAAAAAACCCAATATATTTCATATAAACTAGTTATATAATAAATTGTTAAAAATACCTTTACAATAAACAAAAGATTAAATTAGACAAATAAGAATACAGAAAATACTAAAAGAATACAGAAAAATACTATTCTTACGCCATCATGATTAATGACAATAAGTTAAAATCTATATTATTAAGGTGAGTTAATTGTTTATACAAAGTATTTATAAGTATATATACAGAAGATGTTCTATAAGTTCATATGACTGAAGCATTAAAACATTCAAGTCCTTAAACAAATTTTTTATCCAATTCGTTAACTTATTTTGTAACTAAACCAAAATTAATCTAATGTATAAATTCTAACACTGTTTTAAAACTGATCGAACAAAAAGAACAAAAGAGTTGAATTTCCACTCTCTGGAAATATTTTTAGTGATATGCAGCCTTAATCTTTTCAAAATTGTTCTTATGATATAGTAATTGAATAGTAGGTGTTCTTATGCTAAAGGAATTTAATGATACGAATCAGATCGAAAGTTCCTAACAGATTTCTCAATTATTTCCATACTTGGTCGCGAACAAAAGATCATGAACCTATGAATTACCAACTTTGCATTACTAACAACTATTTACGAAATAAATGAAAGTCTTCCAAAGTAATCACATTCAAGTACCGTCACAATTTTTTTATCCAGTCATACAAATCCTTCAAAAAACTTTATATTCAAATAAACTGAGGTATTACTGCCCTAGTTCTTAATTATTTCATTTCAAATCCTCTGTATTAACCGTGATTCAGTTCTCGCATTATTTTTCGCTCAATACTTTGCATATGTCCGATACAATAACAGTTCACCTTTTTCAATTGTTCAAATTTTAGCCAATTACTGAAATCGATTGCATATCAATTAATTAATCATATTGAACTGAAAATTTTTCAAAAAAATATCAAATTTTAAATTCCGAATATGAAATATTCTGCAATAATAATAATAATAATAATAATAATAATAATAATAATAATAATTAGTTAACCTTCCATTTTGACAGTATATTTCTCATCAACAATAAAAGAAAACTGTTTTTCCCTTAATTTCATTTCCTCTCCTCATTATTCAATCAATATATTACAGGTGACTGCCCATCATTTATAGAATATGGATCGGGATCAGAGTGAAAACAATCTACTAGACTTATTCCAATCATTGCTATATTCGACTGACAGTTAGTTTGCCAAAGAGATATGGTGTTTAAAACAATGTGATTCGATTTGGATAGCTTTAGTTTCATTGCCAATTAAATTAACGATGTTTAAGTAGCTGAAGTGGGTCTAACCCAAATCACTAACTAACCTTTGTCGACTCCAAAATGACCTTGAAAGCATAATGCTATTTATTGGTTAGTAATCTCAGATAAGCAACTATTTGTAACGCTTTTTTACCTTCAATGCCAAATAAAATAAACTAAGTTCAATGTTCCTATATGGATCATGATTTTTATGCGGTTTGTAATTAATTTTCATTTTTTTTTAAGATGTATGAGTTTCTGTTATAAATAACTTGACATAAGTTTCTTCATCGTCAGTCCAATCATTTTTGTGTGAACTTGTTAAAATGCCAATCAATTTGAATTACAGCATAGTGACCTGTAAAATAAGTATTTAATTGTGTTTATCTGTTTAAGCATCTATAAGCCCTGACAGGAACCTATAATTAATATAATATCAATAATTATATGAGATGCCTAAGAGTTAATATTGAGTATATTAGAAAGAAATCATTTCTCATTAACTTGCCTGACAAAAACATTATATATATATATATATATATATATATATATATATATATATATATATATATATATATGAATGGTAGTTCACATCACTTTTGCACTGAAATAATTCATAGTCTCTAACTAGTTCCTTATTGAGTTGATGATAACTGTAAATGTCAGTGATATATATTGGAATTATATGTGTTTAATTCCCATCAATGAAACAACAAAATTGCCTTGTCAATTCATTTCAATATATTTATGTATATCTTTTCCTTGAGGTTATCTTATAGTAGAATGATCCATTCCATTTTACATTATATCAACCATATAGTACTTATAGGTTAGTTCCAAAACACTTTATCACCTCCCAGTCCATGTCGTCCCATGATGTCTTCATATCCAGTGTTGTCCATACCAACCTTGGCATTCAGGTCTCCCATAAGAATAGTCAAATCCTTTGGTGAACATCTGTCGACGATTGACTGCAGCCTTTCGTAGAATTGATCTTTATTGTCGTCATTGTAGTCGTTGGTAGGTGCATAACATTGGATGACGTTCATTGTAATGTCCACTTTCTTTGTTTTGAAGGATACTTTAATGATCCTGTGTCCATGAGATTCCCATCCTATTAGTGCCTTTGATGTTTGGTAGGACAACATCAGAGCAACTCGTTGTGTATGTGAAGCATTTTCCTCTTCATGACCAGAGTATAACAGCAGTTCCCCTGAAGTTATTCTCAGTTGTCTTACTTGTGTCCCATGCGTTTCACTGATGCCAAACACTTCTCGTTTGTATCTTTTCATTTCTGCAGCAACTTGCAATAGTCTTTCAGTCTCCCACAATGTACGAACGTTCCATTTACCTGAAAGAATGGTTGCTCTGGTTGTGAGAAGAGGCATCAGCCTCGTGACTTTCTAGGGAACTCTGCTTTCATCACGCGACGTTATAATTCTTCTTCCAACTCCCAGGGTAGAGTTTTATATCGTGAACAAATTGTAGTAAACTATTTCAGAGTTTCCAGAATTTATTTGCAAAATAATAATATACGGAGAGTACATTTAGAATAGGACATCTTTAATTTTTATAAAGAGTTACAAATATTGTGACTAAGTATTTATATGTTTTGGATTGTATTGATGGACGTGAATGACAGCTTATTGAATATTTTTTATCAAAAATATTATATTCAATCCAAGTCTTCATCTACACAAAGGATTAAGCTCAAGTTTAATACATTTGGATTTCTACTCGAAGATATGATCATTTCCAAAACTAAGAAATGAAAGTCACTAACGGATAGATTCTGTATTTTATGTTAACATTACTCAAAAAGAAAAAAAACAGTAGTATTCTATGTGGATATCATCAATCACGAAATATTTTGATTATTTCTAAATATCTAGTTTCTCGACATGAATTTTTATTTAATGATGATCATACTGTAGTGAACGAGAACACAGGTGAGGCAACCGAATTGTATTTAGCGAAAATTACAGAGTTACTCAGTAAAATTGGAAAACCATATCGTAAATCGTTCATTTGCAAAATATCAGTTCAGCATATCAAACTGGACCGTTCCTGTTGCAAAACATCAATCGATTGTCACTATTATTGCGTTTCATACAAATTCCATTGTTTTCTAACTCTTCCTTTCTTGATCTTCCCCCATCTTCTGTTGCCAGACATTACGTTAACACTCCCGTCATATACTACTTATAAGTAGCTCGCACCACAATACTATCTGATTTCATTCACCTATTTATTATTCTACTGCCAGTTAAACTATACTACTTACAGTAAACTTAAAAAATTTTCAATCGTAATATCCATTTTACAATAGAACTATTTAAACGTATAGATATACTATTAAATTATACAATATCGATGTTAAAATGTTACTAAAATTATTCGTTAAACACAAATAATTAAGTGACCTGAATAGAATTATTTCGTAATTGCATTGTTTTAATAGTGACACTTCTATACATGGATGTTTTTATTTTACATCGACTTTTATGCAATAATGTATATAACATGTAACAATATTTTCCAGTTGATAAGTGGAGGACCTTTTTTAAACACTTTTATTCCTAGTTGGATCATGAGTCTCTCAACTATGGAATCAAAAAATAATGAGATATTTGAACATTTGGAAAAACAAAACTGCTCTATTTTTGAACGTGCAAACTCTATAAATTTTCATACAAATCAAATTTAAAAGCAAAGATGTGTACTCTTGACTTTGGAAGACCAAGACCTATTCGAAAGGATCACTACCTAGTCAGCTTATATGAAAGATAGTCAATACTTATGATTAGTGGTTATAAATCTACGCCGGATTAACACTTCTGTTGAATATCAGTCTCAGAATTTCATAGAAAGCAATAACTGTTGCTGATATGATATTATTTTTCATTAAAACTTATACTACTTATGAGTGGTCAAACATTTAATAGCAACAAATAATGACTCCATCATAATTATTAAACATGTGCACACTAAACATCTCGTTAACCACATAAAGATAAGAAGCAGTCCTGACAATGATACTTGAATTGAATTTGACTGGAAACAGCTAGTTCGATTAAGAAAATAAGAAGTCTCTTTATCAGAATTTAAATGGTCAAACAGATTGAATTTCATCAGCCAAATGATCGAAATTGTAGAAAAATAATTATGAAAATATGAAGTTCAGCCGCATTCTTCATAGAATAGAATAAAGAGATGGTATTCAGAATCATATAGAAGATTTGCGCTTGAAACAGACACTGAGGGTGTCCTACTGAACGGCAATAAGAACTTCATAGTCAAACCGTTCTAGTCAGATTGCGCAACAATACTAAAATATTATACTCACATTTTGTGATCCATTAAAATTTCTTAAGTGATGATTTCAAAATTCCACGTTACATTTCTGGGTTTAGTCGGATTATTAATTCCTATGAATCATTGTAACACACTCATTATATATTGTTTTATTACGAATTGTTATGTGTCAACATTTCAGGCGTATTTCGATGAATTTTTCTCAAACTGATGTTTACTATTTTGATTAGTTTTTACCTATAACGTCGATGTGGATGACAGATAACTGAAATGATCGTTATTAGGAAAAGAGTTATATTTACAACAACCTATTAGAAAGTAATAGTTCATTAATCTGAACTTCCTTTATACTTAATAGAGCACAAGATTGAAATTCATCAAGCCCCATTTCAATTTGAGAAACCAGTAGGTATCTATCTCTCTAACCCTTGAATACTGTGATACTAGATGAATTGCTCTGATACATTTTGATGCCTATAAATTAATAACAATTTAAAAAGCCATAAGTGATACTCAAAAAGCACGTGGTGGTTGATGTGGTTGATGGAATAGAGAATGTGTAATTCTTATGACCAACTTATTATTATCATTTGTAATTTTTATTGTATAATTTTATTAGATATCTGCATTATTAATGTATATCTATGTATATTCTGTCAATTGTAAGCTTGTATTCAATCCGTTTCTCATTATCATACACTCTTTATTATTCTCAATGTATTGTTATTATTCAGTTATTTGCAGTTTACTCGGTATCAGTATACAATATATTTGAATGAATCAAATTTAATACATACTGATATAACTAAATTCAACTGATTTACTTTGATAATACCTAAACAGTAAAAAAAAAAAAGAAAAAAAATGTTACAATTAGATTGTAGTTAAAGTAGAAAGCTAGTAATAGTTGGCTGACATAGGTTTAATTAAAATTCCTTATATGAAGGTTAAAGATGATTATTCTCTGTTCTAGATAATCAAATACTTTCGTTTCTGACCCAGTGGGTGATAAAAATTATCTAATGCTTGGTGTCTCGTAGTTTGTGATCTTCACTAAGATATTATTTTACAGTAGTAACATTAAAAGATGAAAGTACGCTCTTGTCAGAACCGCTGACAATTGTCTAAAGAAAGTTCTTGTTTTTCGACATTCATTCTAAGGTTTGATATTACTTACTTACTTACTTACTTACTTACGCCTGTTACCCCCAATGGAGCATAGGCCGCCCACCAGTTTTCTCCAGCCAACTCTGTCCTGCGCTTCTTTCTCCAGTTCTGTCCAATGTTTGTTCATTCTTCTCATATCTTTCTCTATTTCTCGGCGTAGTGTGTTCCTTGGCCTTCCTCTTTTCCTTTTACCTTGAGGGTTCCATGTGAGGGCTTGTCTCGTGACGCAGTTAGGTGCTTTTCGTAGTGTGTGTCCTATCCACTTCCACCGCTTCTTCCTGATTTCCTCATCCACTGGAATCTAGTTTGTTCTCTCCCACAGTTCGTTGTTGCTGATGGTGTCTGGCCAACGAATACGAAGTATTTTGAGTAGACAACTGTTCATAAACACTTGTATCTTCTGGATGATGGCTTTCGTAGTTCTCCAAGTTTCCGCTCCATACATTAGAACTGTCTTCACATTTGTATTAAAAATCCTGATTTTGGTTTTGATTGAAAGTTGTTTGGAGTTCCAGATATTTTTCCATCGTAGAAATGCAGCCCTTGCTTTGCCAATCCGTGCCCTCACATCTGCATCGGATCCACCTTTCTCGTCGATGATGCTGCCCAGATATGTAAAGTTGTTAACGTCCTCCAAGGCATCTCCATCAAGAGTGATTTGGTTGGTGCATTTTGTGTTGCATCGGAGAATTTTGCTTTTTCCTTTATGTATGTAAGGTTTGATATAATGAAGTTACTTCCAAGATTTACAAA